CAAAGTATTGTGCATATATATGTGTGAAACTATATATTCTATGCTTTCATGTACATGAAAAAAGCTAATAAAGGCAAGCAAAATGTTCTTCAGATACATAGATCTAGTAGTAGGCCCACTGGAATTTTTTTATAAACCGGGAAAGATGACCAGAAAATAACAAAATTATTTTATGATCTTCACTTGCACTTGCAATTTTTTGGACAAATTATAGTCTACCTCATTGTCTTTTTTCCCCCGCATTTTTCTTCACTATTCATGACAACTGGCATGTATTGTTTTCAGTTATTATCAAAAAAGTGGATAGGCGGACTACGGGGTCTATCTAGCCAAAAGGATAGGTGGACCCCGGGGTCTACCTAACAAAATGCTAGGTTTTAGGATGTGAACCCCGGAGTCAGCGTAGTGAAATAAGTAGTAGATCTAGGTTTAACTAAGGATCGGTGGACCCCGCGGTCAACATAGTGAAATAAGTAGATCTCAGTTTATTTTATAGTAGGACTGGCGGAGCCTGTGGTCAACGTAGCGAAATTATAAGTAGATATAGGTTTAATTAAGGATTGGTGGACCCCGGGGTCAACGTAGTGAAATCAGTAGATCTAGGTTTAATTAAGGATTGGTGGACCCTGGGGTCAATGTAGTGAAATAAGTACACATGTAGATCTAGGTTTAATTTTAAGGATTAGTGGACCCTGGAGTCAACGTATTGAAATAAGTAGGTTTAAGGTGGACCCCAGGGTCTACCTAACGAAATACTAGTTAGGTTTTTAGAATAGGTGGAACCTGCGGTCACCGTAGTAAAATAAGTAGGTTTAATCACTGCAGACTGATATAATCTGACAAAGCCAGTTGTTTTGCCAACAGGTTCCTTTAAAGTTTCTCCAGGCAACTTTAAAATTTCATTCAAAATTTTGGTTTTGAACTACAGTAGTCTCTGCCTAAGATCCCACCGCTTACAATCCCAGTTCGCTTTAGATCCCACTGTTTTAAGAAAAACAGAATTTTTACCATACAAAAGTCACCCCTAAATTCCAGCTCTGATTCACTCTGAAGGTCTACATTCGGCTAAGATCCCTCATTTCAGGTAATAATTTACAGAACAAAAAACCCGGATGGGCACAACCAATCAACCAAGGGTGAAAAGTTGAGATCATTGAACTTCCCATCACGTCAAAGATCAGCCACTCTCGTGTATGTGATCTCATGTGTGTTATAAAACTTGACGAAACGATGCAATGTTTGCCCCAGATGGGATCACACCAAGGTGTGAACTGACAGACGCGTTTGTTTTCCCTAAACATCGCACTCGTATCTGAGCTCTCCACCTATTCTTACATCACACGATGGGTGGGTAGGACATACAAGCTCTGGGCAGAATCACATTGAACTGTGAACTCTTCCCTGACCGTTGCGGCATTTGTCTCTACTCCGGAATTTGCGAGACAAACAGATTTTTAATAAGTGTGGTCACAACGTAATGGTGCGTAACGACGAAGGTGGGAGAACTCGGTCAGAGATGGAAAGCTATAAATTTTGGACAGGTAAAGGGGAGCGGCAACTGGATACGGTTGATCTTGAGACTCACTTGTAAGAGGATTATAAGTGAAAATGGTATGTTTCATGCCGCTGTGATTGATCATCACTGTTGACCACTCTTTACTCGCCATATGTCATTCACCCACCCAAGGATCATGCCAGTTTATTTTAGAGTGAAGGGAGACCATTTTACCGGTTGTGGGCCTTAACATGGGCCACCATAGATTCATCCCTTGGTGTGTCCGCTAAGATCCGGCATTTTCCTTGCTCCTGAGCACTGGGATCTTCGGCAGAGATTACTGTATTGGCCAAGGCCTGAAAATAATAGTATTTTCATAATTAGTGCAAATCAGATTCAAATCGACGAAAAAACAATAGAAAAAGGCTGAACTCGCAAAGGCATGTGAGGGACAGAGATTATCATGCAGCCACTGAGTGTGTGCCATGCACTGTATGTGTGTACCTTTGGTGGCCAATTCACTGACGGTAGCCTATAGTGGGGTAAATTTACGTTTGTTAAATTAGGACCATGCAACTCAGACAGTTGGCAGATACAGTGTTTAGCCGCAAACAGTGGAACTCGGGATTCAACGAAAACTCGGATTCAACTAAAGGAGTTGGATTCCCCGATTTTTTTATTCACAGAAGTCAATTAAAATAACTAGGATTCGATGAACACCTAAAAGAGCAAGCTCGGATTCAATGAAGTTGCTTGCAGGGTGAACTGCTTTATGTGGTGAATCAGCAGCCTCTTTTCATACCAACACATTCATTGTTATCACGCACCCATGTCTTAGCGTGTGTGGGAGTTTGACGGGTGGCCAGTTTCTGGGGAGATGGGGGGAGGGGGTACAAATGGTCAGTAGAGATACAAACGGGACATAGTTATTTTTTTTCCAGATTACTAATCAATATTACTACAAGTTAGTCTTGACACAGATCTACGTAATCAATTGCGCCCTAGACTGTGGAATCAAATGTTGGCGTATGCTGGGCTCTATACAGCATCCTAACTTATTTGGCAGACAATGCGTTATAATAGGTGATAGATGACACAGGTGTATATATATTTGAACAAATCAGCTCTTTTGCACAGTGTGTGCTTGGTAGAGTTCAATGTATTTTCCTTTAATTTTTTAGCATTTCTGCGGTATCAAAGCAACACAAATGCCTCTCATTTGAAACCAAACTACTTTTGATCGAGAAAGTCAAAACTTGCTCGGTGCCTGTAATTATCTATACAAAAACCTCACATTTGCCATAACGGACACTCGGCCCGACGAATTCATTGAATGCGAGTTCCACTGTACTATGTTTATATATATATATAATGCGTTCCTTTTCGTTTATCAGCAAACCTGGTTGCGATGCAATGAGATTTGACTGTAATTTCCTTCCATACTTTGTCTTTCCTCAGGGATTCCATCTTAAGGCCGATGGGTAATGTTTGCGTCCAATCCACTTCGACTTCCATTTTCTCTTTAGATCTGATAGATCTGATTTTTTTGCTCCCATTAGTTGTTCCTTCTTCTGGATAATAATAGTTAAATAAGTAGAAACAAAACTTCTCTGGGATCGCAGTTCAAGGTGTAAAACGCTTTCTTAAATTCCTCCAAGCTAATTCCCTCCATGAACTGTTTGGTATGATCATGGTTCTAGGCATTTGTCTTCTGCCCAAGATCTGTCTTTCCATCCAGAAGTTTTTCTTTTATTGGCAGCTTAACAAGGCATCCTTCTGTCCAGTCCTGGGATACTTCAAAATAGTAAAGTAGTAAAGTGTCACTGAAGCATCATGTTGACAGAGTCCTGGCAATTTAGTGCAGGGAAAAAGCAAGAGAGACAGGAAACAACAAATGAAAAGTAAAGTTGGGCACATCAGTGACACATTCCAACACCGGCCTGGGATATCAGCATATATCTCTTCTCAATTTTGTTTTTAAGTATTTTGAGGACATTGTGTAGAATATTGGCAGAATATTTCTATTTGGTGGTGTTCCATCTGATCGAATGGCTTTACTTTACCGCATTGATTATATTGCAGACTTAGCAATAAATGATCAGACTTTCAAATAAAAACAAAAACAACAAAAAACTTTCATTTAGCTAAATTCAGTTTACCACTTTCTTTCCAATGTGGAAAGGGAGTAAAAAAAATGGTTCCTTTAAATATTGGAAAATAATATTTTAAAAAATTCTAAGTTCTTTTTTAAGAAAAGTCTACTTTATTTTTACAAATTGACTATTTTTTCTAAAAGCTGGGGAAAATAAACTTGACCTCAATTTCTCCTAACAGTTTCCGTTCTTGAGATTTTTTTGTTATTTGCGAGAGTTTGCGTCATCTTTCATTCTGCCATTGTGCAAGGACTGGGAAGAAGCATTTTTCTCATCAAATTCAATTTCTGGAACTAGAGATTTTTAGATGTGTCTAAATATTCAGATACAAATTACATGTACTTATGTACTTCAAATTGTGGTTGGGGCAACATTCCCAGACTATACTTCATTTGAAAATGCCTTTAAAGGGTTCTCTGAGAAAACAAGACTGCTCGACTTTGGCAGTAACCTATTTTGCATTTAGTCACCCCTAAAGCAAAAACTGAATCACAAAAAATCCTTCCACGCAGCCGCTCCCCCCCCCCCCCCCCCCCCTCACACCTTACTCACACACACACTACACATAGCGCGCAGGCCACTCCATTCGCAAACAACCAAAAAGTCTCGAGAACGGAAACCGCTGAGAAATAGATTTCAAGTATATTTTACAGAGCGTTCGGAGAAATAGAGCTGGCCTTATTTTTATTATTGGATGAATTTGTTGAAAGATGAGATGAAACTGGTGAGACAAAGTTTTGTATTAGTATTAGGGTGAACAAAGATTCTGTTTATTTGCTATTTGTTAGAACCATCACCTCAGGGAGATAAGCAGGAGAGCTCTAAATGTCTTCCCCAGTCAGTTTCATGAGAGCTTTTAATATGATTAATGAATAAAAGTCAATACTGAATGGCTCAATTAACTTTATTCAGGGAACTTTTCTTTGTATTCCTCACCTTTCTTTTGTTATCTTAGTTAATATAGCACTAGTATTTGTCTCGACATGTTCCTGCTGATTGTGAACCTGGGTATTTTATGATATCACTTCTTGTCTGCAGAAGAGGTTCACATGTTCGCATGTGAATGTAAAAAACGCCGCCAGTGCCTGAGCAGTTGTGAAAATATACTTTCTCAACATGTGCAATGTATTTTGAAATTGTTTAAGTTAAAGAAAGGTTTGCCAACCTCAGGAGAAGTGTTAACGTGAATTGCAAACTGAACCATTCCTTATATTGGTTAATCTTTTAAACACATACTTGTGGGGGGGGGGTAAGTGTTTTACGGAGCTCGCAACTGCATAAGGTCATATGAGCGTGCGGGACACACCAAACATTTTCAATTGACAGTATTTTTTTTCTTTCTCTCATTTCAGCGTGAAAGCATGGGTACTGTATACTTTTCAGACGATATGAGTGATGCCCAAGCTGCTGTATCAGACACTTTAGTGGAGTACAAACAACTTTTGTCACAGTTATCTGCAGACCAGAGGCAAGAGGTTTTGAAAACCATTGGTTTACGAATGGAGGAATTGAAAGCTCAGGAACAAGCTATCAAAGAAGCCCTACATGATGATCACTAAAGATGTCATATAAATTGTAACCTATATTTTAGATAATATGTACTTGAATGTGAAACATGGTGAAGTTGTTATTGGCCCTTTTTTTATCTTAGTGACTCAAATTTCTATCTTAAATTGATTAACCTCTTCGTTACCTGAAGATGTATGGTATAGTATGTCACGAAAATGCTCAGTTTTTTGGGCTATTGCCTTTCCGTGGACATCACGGAAATCAGCAAAATTTTGCGTTCCTGGTTGCCTTCAAAAGACTTACTTCCCACAAATTATCTGGCTACTGTAATTCTTCTGAGCGGAGATTTAGCCGCATGCACAGTGTGGATTCATATTCAGGAAACAGAAATGCCCCTACCGGTACCTAACTTACTAGTATTATTACTTTACGGGTATGCTTACAAATGATTGATAAACACAGGTCTAGTCTTCTAGACAACAATGTGCTTCCAGACAGCCAGTCCACTGAAACTGAGACTGGTGAAATAACTGTAGTGGGCAACGAGTTTAGATAAAAATCTGTGTGTACAGTACAGTAGGAATGTACATCCTCTGGCAACGAAGGGGTAAAGGTTTCTTATTTTACATATGTACAGAAGTCTTCACCTAAGATCCCACAGTTTATGATCAGGATTAACTTAAGATCCCATGCTTTGAGAAAACGAAATTTTTACTACACAAAAGTTATCGCTAAGGTCTCTTGCTCCAAAGGGACTCAATTTAGCTAAGATCCTGCTTTTCAGGTCATAATTTACTGAATGAAAACACACGTGTGCACAGCTGATCAATGGAGCAGTGAAAATTTGTAATCATTGTACATAATGTTCTGTTCATCGGGTCACAGATCATCCACTCTCGTGAAAGTGATCACATCTGATCGCCGTTGTTCATCTCGATGAGTGGGTACAAATAGTAAATGTTTGCCCCAAACAGGATCACATCGAGTTGTGAACTCATCAGCGCATTAAATTGTTTTCCCCTTAACATCATCATCATCATCATCATCATCATCATCATCATCATCAATGCCTTTCACCCGTGGCAGGGTATAGGCCACATACTTGCTCCTTCCATTTTCATTTATCTCTGTCCTTGGCCATCCTTCCAAGCTCATTCCAAGTGTGCTTCATCTCTCTCATATCCCTTTCCACACATCTCCTCCATGTTTCCCATGGCCTACCCCTGCCTCGTGCTCCTTGTGGGTTCCACTGCAGTGACTGTCTTGTGAGGTTTCCGCTGGGCTTTCTTAAGGTGTGTCCCATCCAAAGCCACTGTATTAGTCCTATTTCTACTTCTATATTCCTTTTGTCCTGTCTTCCTTTCCCACAGCTCTTCATTTCTTTTTCTGTCCTGCCACTTAATTCTTAGATTACTCCTCATACATCTGTTGATGAAAGTCTGGACTTTATTCAGTACTGTCTTAGTCTTTGTTGTCTTCCAAGTTTCGCAGCCTTAGAGGAGCACAGACTTGACGTTGGAGTTAAAGAGTCGAATCTTGGTGTGCAGTGAGATGTTGCTTGCTTTCTAGACTCTTGATAATTGATTGAATGCTGACCTTGCCTTGGCAGTTCTTGCTTTAACATCTGCCTCGGTTCCAATTTTTTCCATCGATGACATTTCCAAGGTAGGTAAAGGAATCCACTTCTTCCAAGCGAGTGTCTTCCACTGTCACAGCAGGGCTTGAAACTTTTCCTAGCTTCACTACTTTTGACTTGCCTGAATGTATACGCAGGCCAACGCTCCTTGATAGAGCTGTTGAGTTCCTTGGTATTTTCTTGCATCTGAGCATGTGTGTGAGAGAGCAGTGCAAGGTCATCAGCGAAGTCCAAGTTGTCCAGCTGCTACCAAGGGATCCACTGTATCCCATTAAACTTGCATCTGGTGGCTTCTTTCATGACCCAGTGAATTGCCAGTTTGAAGAGAAAAGGTGAGAGCAAGCATCCTTATCGCACTCCTGTCTGTATGTGAAATCGTTCTGAGAGTTGTCCTTCGTGGAAGACTTGGCAGTTTGTTCCATCATAGGTGGCCTTCACAAGCTTGACAATTTTGTCAGGTATTCCAAAATGCCGCATGAGTTTCCACAGAGTTTCCATGTCCACACTGTCAAACGCCTATTCGTAATCAATGAAGTTGACCACGAGTGGTGAATTCCATTCCAGCAATTGCTCAACAATGGTGCACAGAGTAGCGATCTGGTCCACACATGATAGGTTTTTGCGGAATCCTGCCTGGTTTCCTCGGAGCTTCTCGTCTGTTGCCAGCTTGATTCTTTCCAGGCGTATCCTGTTAAAGACTTTCCCAGGTATGGACAGGAGTGTAATGCCTTGGTAGTTGTTACAATTGCTGAGGTCTCCCTTCTTTGGCAGCTTGATTAAGTGGCTTTCCTTCCAGTCTGACGATGTTTCCTCCTTTTGCCAAACCTTTTCAATAGAGCTTAGAGAATTTCCACTAATGTATCTTTATCTGCCTTAAGGGCTTCTTGTGGTATACATATTATGGTGGGGACCAGCTGCCTTATGGGACTTCAGTGATCTTATAGTTGCTGCAATTTCCTCTCTTGAATGTGGTTCCATAACTATTGGGAGGTCATTTCTGGCTGGAAGAATGTCTGGTTGGTTTTCTGGAGGTGGTCTGTTCAAGAGTTAATCAAAGTGTTCTCTCCATCGGTTAAGTCGCCCCTCTGGGTTGAAGATAGTCTTTCCCTCTTCATCTTTCAGTGGTAGAGTAGGCTTGCAACTTACCTGAAAGAGTTTTTGTTGTCTGGTGTACTTTCTGCAAGTGTCCGTCTGTTGCTGCTTTCTCTGCCTCTTTTGCCAGGCCACTCAGGTAGAGGTATTCCTGTCCTTCTTGATGGAATTCTTTACCTCCCGGTTTACTTTGGTGTACTCTTGTTGTGCAGCGAGTTTCTCAGTTCGGGTGCGGCTGTTGTTGACTTAGGCCTTCAGCTCTCTTCTTCTTTTGACTTTGTCTAGAGAGTCCTGTGAAATCCATAAACATCACACTTTCATTTTAGTTTTAGCCCTCAGCTTGAACCGACATCACGCACTGAGTGGCTAAGGCCTCAAGGCCAGGTCAGATAGGCTGGGATCACATCTAACTATGAACTTGTTGCTGTTTTTTATTTTTCTCACTGTTGCTTTTGTGGGCGTGAATTTGGTGGACAGACTGGTGACCATACTTAGGGACTGTCGGATCTGATCGCCTTTCAGTAATGTAGTTATTTGTTGGTGGAGCCTGCCTTTCTTCGTTCTTCAAATTTTAATTGGTGCTGCCATACACAATGGTGCTGCACGACAGGAATTGGGCAAGTGAAAATAGCATGTCTCATTGAATTAAGAAGAGACTAGTGTGATTGGTCATAGCGTGATTGGTCTTCAAGGTTAATCACTCTTTGCTCACCATAGGTATAAGCCCACCCAGAGGTCTTATCAGTTCATTTTAAAGTAAAGGGAGAATTTCACCGATTGTTGGTATGACTGTGAGTTACCATGGATTCTTCCCCCTGATAATTCGGTGAAGGTCCTGTATTTTCCTACTTCCTAATAGGGGATGCCCATTGGCATGATTGGTTCTGTTTGATTTGATAGGCAGAGCTAGTCAGATTGAGGGCACAAAGTGACCATCGTTGCACAAACTGATCACCCGACTCGCAGCCTCTAAAACGAACACGTTTGTTTTCTGACTGCAGTGATCGGTTTGTCGATCCCCAATAGGCACTGCACTGGTTATAAGCAACAGAATCTAAGGTGGAGACTAACTGTATTTGTTGTGATGATTCCGTGTTTACTTTATACAATTTCATTTTAGCCTCCATTCTTTTATATACTATGCACATACATTATTTCATGTTTAAATTTAAACCGAGCCATTTCTTTGGAACACAGTCAAGTCTATAAGTTTACCAAACTACTGTGTACTAATATTTCTTAGTCTTGAGATTGTCATTAATTTCAACAATACAAAGATGTTATTTTAGCCTGTGTGTAATCGGGCTTCAATCAATGTACTTTGTAATGTAGAGCCGATCTGAACATTGATCTTCAGAGGCGGCACTGGACTCTTACACACCAACAAGCACATAAACAAAATTAACCCTATGTGGGAACCCCATTGCAGACACTGTGACTACCACGAGGAGACTTGAACTTCTTTTCCTTCACTGCCCAAACTGGCTGTTCTTCGAGCAGGCTCCTACACACACCTACAGATTTACAAAGCCTGCTCTACTCTGGCGTTGACCAGATGACAAGGATATGTGGTTACTTGAGGGAGGCATTGCACTGCCAAGAGCGAAATGCTCGCAGCTAAAGGGATTTGGAATCAACAACATGCATTATTTTTAGTCTTGTTATTAGGGTCAGTAAAAATAGCATTTTCCTTTTTCATACTTCATTGATCCGTTCAGTACATCATGTTCATGCTCATACCTATTATTCTTGTTCCCTTGCTCAAAGGTTGACACAGAAATCACAGAGAGGGGTACATGTACTGAAATTATATTTTTTTTGGTTGAAGTGGGGAATATTTGAGCTACAGCAAAAGTATGACCTGATGCAATATAATATGTAATTTAGTTTCTGTTACTTCTCCTACACAAGTCAACATGTCAATATCTATAATTTGACAAAACACACAATATATTTGTAAAGGAAGACCAACTGTGATGGCTAAAGGTCTATAGTGCATCCCAAAGTTTCATCCAGTTTCTTTCGAATTTTGTATAAGCTAGTAGCCTACCCTTCATGTTCCTTCTAGCTTTCGTTGTTGATTTTCTTGAATGGGCTCACTGGATTCCAATAGAATTAGGGGTATTTTTCTTGTATTTTAAGCACAAACTTTTCTTTTTCAATACACTTTATCAAAAACATAAAAATTTAACAATATAAATTCTTAGTCTTAAGATCCCCTGAAGCTGTAAAAACATTACAAGATGGTAGTGGTTTTCCTTGGACATGTGAGTTGGAGATCACCAGTCCTAATAATGGCCTTTAGCAACAGATCAGAATTATAATGTAAGTAAGTAATAAAGACTCTTCTTAGTAATATGAATGGGCATGTTGTACATCAAATCAGACATGAGTACCGGTAGTGTAACTACCTCAAAGGCAGTGTTATTCTGTGTTAACTCATGCTGCTCTTCTCATAAGGTGTACTTATGTAATACTTTCTCATAAGTTAATGATGTGTCTTTTATGGCAATGTTTTCATTTACATATATTATATTACAGAGGAGTCCAGGGGGAAAACGGGCACAGTCACAAACTTGAAATTGTGAGTTTGTCAATTTTTAAAGCTTATGGACTCATCACTTGATATTTGTTTGATTGGTGGTTTATTGTTATGTTTGTTGAATAGAAAATCTAACAACAATAATCAGCCAACAGTTGAACAGAAATACTTATGAGTCAACAAGTGTTAAAAATAGATACCTCGCGATTTTCGGTTTGCGACTATTCCCATTTTTTCTGTTGACTCCTCATTTGGTCTCGTGTTATTGGGAATATACTTGAGAATCTCTTTCCTGTGGCAACGCACAAATTAATGTTCTTGTTTTTATGTTTCATACCATGCTTATGTGATTGAAGACATCGGCTCGTTGTGTATGTGTAGTAATGTTTTGTTATTTCTGAATTTACAATTTTTGTGGAAATATCATAGGTTGGATGGTTATGTTTTGTATTGGGATTAGTGTAAACTGTTGAGAAAGGTTGAGACAAGTAAGTTTGAGTTGCCATCCATATTTCT